TACAGTCGACCCCCCTATAATTACGGTCCCTATAATTACGATTCCTATAAAACTACGAAAAAATATACGTATTTTGGAAATGTTGAGTCGGATTAGTGTAGAATCGATTAATTTTATGGAAGAAAACCTTTCAATCAGCCATAGTCCGTAAACTTGACACGTGTCGGGCTGTATTGGAACGACTTGTAAGAAATCGGATTCCTAATAAATTGGAACGTATCTATATCTTATAGGGGTGTCGACTGTATTGATTAATACTAATTCATTCAGTGTTGTTTGCAGTACACTCTTTGACAGGACTGTTGAAAGGGGAATCAGGGGATTTTTCTCTGTGAAGTAGAAGTAGGAATCTCTGTGTTTTTACTAACAGAAAATAAAATCTTTAAAACTCCCTTTTATTAATAAAGAAACATGCTATGTATTTTATTTGTTAAAAAATCAAAACACTAAAAGGTCCTGTTCTACACTGGACCCCATACAATGTTCAATGTTTCATGGTCATTAGCCATGCTAGTATATGATTGAAATAGGAAATGCTAGCAATTTAAAGTATTGTTCTATGAGCAAATAACAATTAAAATGATTAACATTTAACATTTATAAGTACTGATTAAGACATGTGAGGTTTTTAACCCAGACCCTGACCCTCGCTTGTCCCATGAGAATTCTTTTAGTTGTATAGGGGTAGCTGTTGCTGGATGCAAAGAGACCTACACAGAGACTGAAATGACAAAATTAATGCATTTATTTTAACAAAGACATCATGCTTATAGACAAGGCTAAAGAATGTACTATAGTTCTTACAGAGGAAAGTTTGTTTCAGATGATCCAGAAAGTTTGCACCAACCAGCGAGTGTTCATCTGTCCTTTCAAAGATGCTCTTAGAAGATTCAAATGCGAGAGGTCCCAGAGTGAAGAAAATGTCGTCAGGAAGTTAAGTCCCTTGTTGCTCCTGCACTCGAAGTCTTTGGGGTTTCTCCTTTGTTCTTTGTTGGAGTATCTGCAATGCCATGCACAAGGATGGACATTCTCGATCACAATCTCCCCATATCCTTGGAATCCCAGACTTTTATATCATTTTCACCCAAAATCCTGAGATTTTGGTTGGTCTGAATGGTGGTCCCCTGAAACTTCATTGGTCCCTGGTCTGTTGCCAAGGACACAATTTGAGCCACAGGGTCACTGAACACCTTTGAAAACCCCATCCAGGCCACCCTCCCTGGAGTTGGATCAAGCTCTCCCCGGGGTGAGAATCCTGTAAATTTAGGTGTAATGTTTCCAATGTATGTAATGTGTGATTTCCTGACTCGGAGAAGGCGCAGCTGGGTCCAGTCAGCCTTTTCCTCCAAAAGAGGGTCCGCAAATTCTCACTTTGAACTCTGTGTAAGATGACTGTTGAACTCTCCCCTGGAGGTCAATTTCTCCCCCAGCTTTTATGATTTACGATTGGGGACTTGTCAATTTGGTTGGGGAATGTGACAATTAAATCATCTCACACCCCATTCCTTTGCCACTTTGGTCTTGTTTACGATTTATTGGCCCCAACTTGACAGCCAGCTTCCCATCAGGGGGGTAATGTCCCAGCCTCACAGACACAATGATAACTTTTTTAAACCTCTTTCTATCCTGTAGGCACTGAGAGCCTTTTTCAGACTTACAGTGGGTTCAGCCAAGCCCACAGCATGGTGGACAGGGTTGACATATTTGGGATAGCCCACCTCCAAAAAATTGCTTTTAATTGCTTTAGTGTGTAGTTTTAATATCGGAATCAATAAAATTAGAATTTCCTGTAATTGTAATCTTATTTACTTAACATATTGCAAATTTTAGTCTGTTGTTATTATCAGTATATGTGAGTTTCAAATTGACTAGAATAAATGGATTAATTATATAATTATGTTGTTAAATTATGAGTATTATTAATAAAAGTTTAGCTAATAAGATTATTTCTTGCAGTTAAAAATTAATAAAAATTTGAACAATGATTAAATTATACATTAACTAATATTTGGTTACCTTATTTTAATGAACAAGACAAAATTATAAGTTAAAGTTTTGTATTCATAGAGGATAGTAATAAAACTAAATAGTATTTATAACATTAAAGTTTCCTCTTAGTTCTTTGTTAATTTGTATTTTTTATTGTGTAATTGTAATTTATAGTAATATAGTAAAGCTAAATAATAATAATAATAATAATAATAATATTAAGCAGTTATAAGCTTTTTATATTTAATTCAGTAATAAATAAATTTTGAAAAGTTGAATAGCAGTAACGTTCTGCTATAAAGTTCCATGTTTATTATAATAAAATATTATAAGTTAAAGTTTTATTTTATTTGGACATTAAAAATTGATATTAAAACATAAAAAGCTTTACAGCTTAAAGTAAAATTACCTAGCATTTTGCATGTAAATTGAAGTAAAAAATTAAGAAAATTGTCGAGAGTTACTATTAACTATTTAAATGAAAATGTTATTTCAAAATTATATATAATAGAAAAAGTTTGTTTTCAGTCTTGTATAATGTAATACTTAAACAAAATAAAATTTTAACTATTTATATTTTACATTACATTTCAGCTTGAAAAAGAATGCAATGAATTACAGAAACAAATAGACAAAAATAGTCAGTTTATTAATGTAGAAGAGGCAGAGGATATAGAAAAGTTAAGGTTTGTATTTTATTAAATTTAATTTTTACTTACTTTTATTTAAAATAAATATATTTTAATTTATTTAGCATTAAAATATAGGTAGCTGTCAGTATTTACAAGGGTTTGTTCATTAGAAATGTTGCAAATACCAAATTTACAAAGCCCAAGTAGAAAGATTTATGATAAAATTCAGTTAGGTTCCTACAGGTTGAGTCAGTGTGGCTGAGCTAAAGCATCTGCTATGCAAACCAAAAGTCATGTTATTTCAATCTAAAAATTTTTCCTTGAAAGATATTATATAGATTACTGGCATTACTCTATTGTTAAAGAAAAAGTATGATGTACTGTACAGGGACAAGCTGCTACTAATTTGGGATGGAGAGTATATATTTTAAATTAAATAAATAAAAAAATATGATTAAAGATTGCAGCCCGGCATTGTGACTATGTGACAAAGTCATGTTACAGTATTTCAATTCAAAATTTTCCCTTAAAGGAGTTAGATTGATGACCGGCACGACTCTATTGTTAAAGGAAAAGTATGATTTACAGGGGCAAGACACTGCCAATTTGATGTGGAGAACATATATTTTAAAAACATGATTAAAGATTGCAGCCCGGCATTGTGACAATGTCACAATAAATAATTGCTCATTATTATTATTATTAATATAGAACTATGTAATTACTGTATTTGTTATGGACCAAGTGATTAATAGAGCATTATTTATAATGTCCAGCCATTATGAATAATGACTAAAATGGCAGCACAGCCTGATAAATATAGACTAATTTATTAAATTGACCAGACAATATGAATACAGTTACGTTCCCTTTAGGCAATTTGATATTTTTAAAAATCTCCATTTTTTTCATTAAGAATTATTTCAAAGTATTTTAAAATCAACATGAGATCTTTTAAAAGTAAGTACAGTAGAACCTCGAAAACTCGGCCTAATGTGGACCGAAGGGTGGCCGAGTTTGTGAAAATGCCGGGTTATCGGGAATGGGGTTAAAAAAAATAAGTACGAGTGTTTCCTCAGAAAATACTGTACTGTACTTGTATGTATTGTTTACTTGAGAATATAACAGAGAATAAACTGCCCAAATACCCTTAAACAAAGGAAAACTACGTACTTTATGAAGGCTACGTACTTTACTACATGAAAATGAAAATTAATGAATACACTGTGTACAGTAATTTACCTGATAAGACAGACCTCAGAAAAATACTTTATGAGAGCTTTTATACTTTTATAAAGCTGTCTATAATGAAAATTAATTAACTAAGGATTTTTTTTGCCCTGCCAGGGTGTGGCCGAGTTATCCGGAGTGCTGGATTATCGAGAGCCGAGTTTTTGAGGTTCTACTGTATTATTAACAGTATTAAACTAATGTTAACAAAAAGTATTATTAACAAATTTATACTTCAATAAAAAAATCAGCTTAAAGAAAAGTTCTGGGAATGTCATTTTTGTTATATATAAAGTTCATTGTTGTTAATTTTAAAGAGAGTCTCTAAATCTTCCTCTGTATTAATATTGATCAATGATTAATTAGGTATAAAATTCTTTAGTCCAACTTTAACTTTGATCTAAACTTGACCTCATTGAAGCTGCAGCTATACCAGTATGATGCACTTGATTTTCATCAGTTGTACAAAACGTAATCCTTCTGACCATTTGTTAGTGTTGTTAGTCTCTGACCAAGAACTAATATTTTCTACATCTTGATTTCATCTTTCTACTGAACACTAACTTTGTGAGTGCTTGGGCTTTCCATGCATTAGTTTTAACTCAGGCTGCACACTACACAGTTCTTTAACGATATTATTGGTGAATTCTCTGCTGTTATTATTTTTACGGATACTTGGTGCACTGAAAATCATAAAAATGTCTATAAGAACATAGGCTACATCTTCAGTCCTTTTGGTTTTTAATGATCATAGTTAAATGAATTCAGTCAGATGGTCTTGGTACATGTGTATAAATTTATATTGCTAATCGGCTTGAGACTTCATATCTATAAGGTTGACCTGACATCTCTAGTTCATTTCATTACTTAAAATTGGTTTAACTACCAAGCCTTTCTTAGGAGCATTCTATTTTTTTCTGACAAATTTCACATAAGTTCAAGTAAATTATAATCATATCTCGTATCCCTTGTAATATTTTCCATATGGTTTTTGCTGCTATGGTCAATAGCAATATCTGAAATATTTCTTCAGTGTGAACATAATATTTAATCAAATTACCATCTTTTACAGGCACAATTAATTTTTCTATTCCTCCAATAGATACGTCTTATCCATGTAAACTCTGATATTCTTCTGGTAGCTTCAAAGTCACTTTGATTTTTGATTCCCTTTTTGTATCATTGACAAATATGCCGATTTTGTAAAAATTTGACTATTTTGACTTTGTGCTGCTATTAACTCATTTAATTGGTTGTTGAAGCAGCTATTCATATCACTTAACAATTGCTCCATGATCGTTACTTTTTTCAAAGAAGAAAACACTTTTAAGAGGCAAAAGTAAAATTAAAATGTCGCACAAGATTAACTACTGGTCGCATGAATTTAAAATTTGATACTAAACACAATATACACATGCAACTCAAACATGAGTAATGATTTGCTAGTGTATGTCAGATGATCACTCCTCAAGGTAATATCATCACTTTGCCTGACCAGGTGAGAGCAGTATTCATAGCAACCAGTCAATCTGATAAATTATGATAAAAACCCTGAAATTTATTACAGTGCCTGATTTTGTTTGTCATTATTCATAATGTCCATATTAATCACTTAATCCATAACATATATATATATATTTATATAGTTGTGGCATAAACTTCATCATATATGATTTGGCAAGAGTTAAGTGTAATATGGTGACTTCAGTTTGGTAGTACAGTAGTCATTGTGCTTTTCTTGGTTATATCAAAAAATGTAAAAATTTGAGATAACAAAGAGTGTGTTTTTTAAAGTATTGCAGTGTAATTGAAATATTGTAAAAGCAATTCATGAATACACAAATGTTTTTTGAAGAGTTGTGTAGTTGGTCATAACTTTTCAATCGTGAATAAACAAAAGTGCAAACACCAAATATGTGAATACTGAAGTTACCTGTATAGCACACAAATGTCTTGTTTTATAAATATTAAACTTCTTGAAATAAAATTATATTATAATTAATATTCTTTTAATATATTTATTATTGATTAATAAAAAAATGGACTTGTTGTATTAATAATTTTATAATTTAGCAAATTTATTTTTAACTAAGTTCAAAAACTTACTTTATTTAATATTGGGATACAAATTGTAAAATAATAATTTATCTACTAATTATATATCAAAGCTAGCTTCCAAAGTTTTCGGTATTTTTAAAGTACAGTAGAGCATCGATTATCTGACTCAATTGGGGACTGGGGTTGGTCGGATAATTGAAAAGTCGGATAACCGAAAAGTATGAAAAAATCCATTATTAGTGTAGTATATTATTATATCGCATGTAATTAGTATATTAGTGTATCGCTATTAACCTACTTCGCGTTGAATTTTCATTGATGTTAAGCCTAATAAAAATTTTTAAAATAATAATCGCTATTGTATCGTTAAAAATTAGAAAATTAAACCTTGTTTAAATACTGGCTCCCTTTATGATTGAGCCAGTGTTGCCAGCTAAAACACGTAAAAATAATATTAAAGTAGCCAAGACATAGCCAAATATTGTAGCGCCACATCACTAGCGGACATTTGAATTTGCCGACTAGAACGCGGTCGGTTAACCGAGGTGACGGTTAATCGGGGTTGGATAATCGATGCTCTACTGTAGTTCCTATTCTTTTTTATTTTCCTTCATCTATTCAGTCTACTTAAATAGGCATTTGAGTTTAGTATTTGAATATATTTTAAATATCAATATCACACAAGAATTACTGATAGTATTTATATGTTTTAAGGTTTTAGAGTGAACCAAATGGTATTGATATGAGAACTTTAATGCTCAATGTTCAAAAAGTTTTAATATTAATAATTACTGGAATTAAGAATATTTACAACTTTCAATTAAATTGACCTACATGTTTTCATTTTTTATTTATTAAAGGTTTAATAGTTCTAAGATAACGGCAGAGGCAAATATTTTTACATTTTAAAAATTACATCATTTCATATTTCATCAAATAATATTAAACTTTTAAGTTTTTGTTATTTATAATACATAATAATAATAATAATAATTATTTTTTTCTGCAGAAAATCATTGACAGATCAACAACTGAAAATACAACAACTGGAGAAAGAAAAACTAGAATTAGAAGAGAAATTAAATAATGAATTAAAAGAAGAAGTGAGATTTATTTGAAAGTGTAATTTATACATCTTTACAAATGGACATTTTTTTTTTACAATATTTTCATAAATATTTTTTAGGAAACTGATAATTCAAATTTTAAAATAGTTCATTTCAAACAAAATCCACAACAACTGATGATTCAGCAAAAATTGGCCCAGATAAAACAATTGAAAGAAGATAATGAACAACTTCGTGCTCGTATTAAAATTCTAGAAGAATCTGGAACAGATGCACAAAATGTCACATTGAAGATTCAACAGCATATTCAAGAACATGATTCAAGCACAGTAGAGAGTATGTGATTTGATTCCTTTCATATAACTAATCCTTTTCTACAAATATTAAATCTTTATGTTAAAATATGGAATACTAAAATTTTCTGATAATTTTTGTTTCTTTTAAAAATTACATATTTATGTATTTATTTTGTTATAACATTACAAACTTGTTAAACAATTCTTGTTTTCTGAAACCTAAATGTTATTTTTAATAAATTATTTCATTCTATAAAATGTCTTTCTTTCTTTCTATACTGTCTTAAACTACATATTTATTAACTGGGTAACACATTTAAAAGATAAATTTAATCTGATCTGATTCTTTTTTAAAAATAAAATAAATAAATATATCAAATAGGTTTGAAAAAGAAACTAGCTACTGCAAAAGCTTGTCAAAAAAGGTTAATGGAAGCAGTTCGTAAAACTGGCATAGAATTTAGAGAATTGTGTTATGTCCTCTTGGGATATAGAATAGATATGGTTGTGAAAAATAAATATAAATTATCTCATTTGTATGCCGAGTCTCCTGATGATTATTTAATGTTTGAGGTAGGGTGAAATTTATTATTTTTAATTTTAAGTTAATTGTATTTTTTTTAGATATATTAGATACATAGTCTTGATAATTCATAACTAAAAATAATTTAAAAGTTAAATGTTTTGAATTATTGTATCTTAAAGAAATATGATGAATAACATTGAATACACTTGTCATAGATATTACATAATTAATTAGTGCTTAAGTACAGTACATATAAAATAATTAATAATTCAAAAAATATTACTTGAGCTATTTTAGAACTATTGGAAAGCATGTGGAAATTAAATTTTATTAGTAAAAATATAATTTTTTTTTAACTGAAAAAGAAAATAAGTTGAGTATTTAATTCAACACATCAAAAAGATGTTCTGTATTAATTTAAATAAAATAGAATTAAGGAAAATTATATATTACAGTACCTTTCAATTAAAATAAAACAAACAATTTGAACAAATGTGATGTGTTAACTAATGCAATAAATGTGTTCAAACAATAATTTTAGAACAACAAAATTCATTTTTTAAGTTTCAAAGTTGTCAAGTTTCTGAACAGTTTGAACAATTTAGAAGATAATTTAATTAAAATATCTATAATCGTGAGGCAGATAATAGTAGGGGCTTATCACACCAATGATAATGGGCACAAATGCTCAATAAATTTTATCACTAACATTTAATAACAACAAATAATATTGGATTGATGGCAAAGAATATTCTTAGACATTATATGTGATATATTTTTTTAAACCATCGTTGATCTATTTAAATGGAGGAAAAATATTAAAATAATTTGTGTGATAACAGTAAAATTGTTAGTGATTAATAACAATTATACATAAATATATACTAATTGCACTAAACTGTATATAGCCTAATTTCTCTGTACTTACATTAATACATTAAACTTCTTCAGTAATTTGTATATTAAGTATTTCTAGCTTAAATTTATTAACTCTATATCAAGTACTGTACAGTTGATTCGTCTTAATAGCACAGCATCAGGATTGGAGCTTTTTGGGGCTACTAAACGAACATCCCAATAAGTTATGCAATTGAAATATGATATAACAGGTTATGTATAAGAGCTATGTCAATGTGTGTTCTCACCAATAAAACAAACATCTGAGTGCAATAAATCCATTTTAATGATGAGAAATTTTATTTCCGTACAAAAAAATTCATTGTAACACAGATGACAGATTGACAGATTATAAAGGAAACTGGATGGAGGTCGTGTATGGAAAAGCCGAAAATATCCAAATTTGTCTCTCTTTTGTTTAGTTTTCCAAGAAAAGGATTGTGCCAGCAGGGCTACTAGTGGCATATATGCCACTAGTATCAGTAGGTAAAGTAGGCTAGTAGGTAAAGTAAATTATGCTTGTGTTATAAGACTTGATTCCGTTCTTGAATGTTTTGTCCTAATACGCAGTATGCCCTACTAACTGACTGGATCAATAACCGGAATCGACCTTATATACTATGTATAGAGTATATAATAGGTTATATACAGTCGACCCCCCTATAATGCGGTAGATACGTTCCACTTTATAAGAATTTCGCGTTGTAGGAATCCTTAAATACATGAGCCAATCACAGCCTGGCACATGTGCAGTTTACGGACTACGGCTGTTTGAAAGCTTTTCTTCTATAAAATTAATCGATTCTAGACTAATTTGACTCAACATTTCCAAAACACATATAATTTTTTGGGAATAATCCGTATAAACTATGCTATAAACAAAAAATTGTAGGATTACTTAGCCGAGTGTGCACCGTTCAACGACGCCATTGCTTAAGCTTGTTTTTGTCGTGGAGCAGCGCACCAAACGCCAGGCGCGTTTTCTGATAAGTTATTTTTCTGCGAAAAATTTGTTGACCTTTGGAGACATCATTAATAGAAATAATTTTTATGGCCATTGAATAAGAAATGTTTTTTTCACAAGAAATGTATAAAATTACAGTACTGTATTAGACTTACAGTACCTGATTTATATACTGTACAGACGATAGGAAATTCAACTTACCCGCCTAAACTCTCTGTAGCGTGTAAGTAGTTCGGCTGCTTGTCCGTTATTGGTCCAGATTTGACCAATGCTGTCGCAACACGAGTCAGCGATGATGTTTTATCGCATTTTACGAGTCTCTTTTAGCGTCTTTATATGAATATGGTCGCAATTTTTTTGCCACAATATATGAATCCACATTATATGAACCTGCATTATAGGGAGGTCAACAGTATATGTATACATAACATACATTTTTGCTAGATGCACTTCATTTCATATGATAAAAATACATCTGGAATAATAATTTGTATAGGTAAATTTTAGTAATCAAAAACTGTTAAATATAGTAGTGGAACAGTTGAAAACAGTTTGCAACAAAATGCAAACTGCAACAGTTGAAAACAGACAAATGCAACAAGTTGAAAACAGTTGAAATGCAGACAAAATACAACAAATACAACAGACAAATACTAATAGTCTGCATAGTCTGCATAGATGCAGACTATGCAGACTATTAGTTATTATAATGCAATAGTTGAAAACAGTTGCATAGATGCAGACTATGCAACTGTTTTCAACTATTGCATTTTGTCCCCTTCTTGACAAAATGGGTCCCAGTTGACTTGGACCCATTTTGTCAAGAAGGGGACAAAAAGCTGGGGAACAAAATACACAATCATAAATTAAAGTATAAAATATTGGAAATAGGTAATATCAGTATTCAGTAGGGCATAAAGAGGCTAGCAGTTCACAGGAAGATCTTTATTGATCCATTAGCATGAGAAGTGCAAAATTGAAGCTCTTCTGCTGGTTAAATGTATTTCTAAATAATTAAAATATTGTAAAATTATAACAAATAACATTAAACTTTTCATGAAATATCTTTTCTCATAAACACTTATTCTTTCATATTTTTTTTAAACAAAGACTGAAGAAGTGTAAATATTGTATATGAGTTATTCTGTATGTGTTTTATTTTCTGTTTTCATTTGATAATTTTTAATTGATTCGTACTTACAAATATAGAATGCATTATATGAAAACTCTTCATATGCTGAAACTAACAGAATATGAATAAAAGTGATAATGTTATCTACATTAAGACTAATTTCACTGCACAGTATAAACTATATACAGATTATAACAAATATTTCTGTTTAATTCTAAAGATCATTTGTAATGTTAAATGCTCGAATGAAATAAGAGATAAACAAGAAAAAAAAACCACAATCAGACATTTCAGGAATATTAATTAATTAATTAATTAAACAATTATGTAATTCTTTTCTAGCAAGTACTTTGGAAAATAAAGTTATTTGTTTAGTTCAGGGGTCACCAAACTTTTTTCACAACAGGCCAGATAACTGAGAGAATGACAAGCGTGGGCCACATAACCATTTTGTTCAATACAGTAACTGAATACACAAAAATTAAAGACAACCTGCATATTTATTTATCAATACACAAACACAATGGCTGCAGCAAGCTAGTAATTGCTTTTCTTAGAAACTTCATTGTAAGTACTTATACAGAAGCGGGCTGATATGCAAAGTCGCAAATGTCATCGAATTTTTTATTTCACTGATTTTCCTAAAAATTATATTACTGTCAGATGCAAAAATTAGATTGGACCAATTTTGGCATTTTTACTTAGTAAGTTTATCTACAATCTATGATATTTCCATATAAATATTTATATTTTAGCTCATTTGTGGCACAGTGTGGCAGCAGACCGGATGAGCTGAAAGTTCAAATTTCTTGGAATAAAGTGTACATATTTTTAAAATATTTTTGATTAAATATAATTTCTGACTTAATTTAAAGTTTATAAACTATGGCCTGAGGGCTGTAGTTTGGTGACCCCTGGTTTAGTTCATATACCAACTTTTTCAGTATGAATTAATTTTTTTATCTAAAGATGGATTTAAAAATTATAAATTCCATTTTATCGATGGGAAATATTATGTTCTATCAATTAATTCCTTTTTTAAAAATTATAGAATCTAGGAATGTCATATTGTCATTTTCTTTTAAAATTAAAAATTATTGTAAATTGCTCTTTATTGTATGTTTCACTATTTTGAAATTGTGAAATTTAATGACAACTTTGTTATTTATAATTTTATACTAACCATAAAAAGTAGCATAATTATATTGCGTATATTTTATGCCCTGAGTAAAATATATAAACAATATTTTCTTTTTTTTTGTTGCAATTTCCATTAAAGTTTTATTATAAACACACAAAATAGAATTATGATATAATCTGTAGGTAAAGTAAGAGGTGTTTTGAAATTATTTATGCAGATCAGTATATTTATAATTAAAAAACTTTCAATTGAAGATTTCATGAATATTCAATGAAACATTATTTTAGAGTTAGAAAATTTTTTATACAGTAAAACCTGTATAAAGCAAAATCTGAATAAAATGGAAACTTGCTTAAATGGAAAGAAAACTCAAAATGGAGTAATTTTCTTTAGACAATTTTCTGGCTTATAGTAAAATTTAACAAGGTGGAAACAGAAGTTACATTCATTGTATCAAAAAATACAATGAAAGTAACTTAACTTAAAAAAGTGAAAAAATTAAGATTCTACTTGTAGATGAAGAAGTTTGCCTCTGGGCATAACAGTCACAGCAGTGTGTGGCAAGCTCTATTCTGAGAATAATTTTTAACCTTTTCAAAACCATATATTCCCTTGTCAAGTGACCTTCATTTGATAAGGGGATGTATGGACACAAGGTCTCTGTTAATATTGATCTATTAGAATTAACCAGGACAGAATCAAATACTTTTAGGACTCAAGAACTTTCAAGAACAAAGTTCTCAAAACAAGCAACAAATGTATTTCATTGAAAACAGTAATAATAAGATAACATAGTGCTGCTGATTTGCTTTTGTATGGTGTAATATATATATTTTTAATTCTTTCTGCCCTGTGGGCACTAAGAGGGCTTCATTTAGCAAGCCCATTATGGGTTCAGTTAGGCCCATAATGGGGTCCGACATATCTGGTGTATGGTGTAATTAGTAACTAACTAGCACCAAGTAATCATAACAAGTTAAGTAATCACAAGCAATCTCTATAGAGTATTAAAATTCCTTGAGAAGTCTAGATGACAGAATAGCTTGGTCACTGTAATTGGAATTTTCAATGATAGAAGCAAGACACTAATTCTTGATACTGGAATTGGCTTGCTTGTTCACTGTTGTGTAAACTCAAAGATTGTGTCTGAGAAGTATTTGAATACATCGTACAAGACATTTATGCAGATAGATACTTCCATCTTCAGTTAGAATCACTGGATTAATTTGGATTAAACCTAATAATAATTTTTTTTACATATGTAAAAGTGGTTTTACAATAAAAATGAAAATAACTTTGACATTTATCTGGTACAGTTTAAAGATGGGGGAAAATACTAAAACCTGTTCAAAACAGAAACCTGCCAAAACAAAAAAATTTGCTATGGAACAATTCTGGTTTACACAGGTTTTACTATATTATCAACTAGTAATAGCTCCTCCTTTTCTGTACTTGTGCAAAAAGGAGGAGGTATTAAAGGATATACCAATTTTAGCATGATAGATATTACAATCTAATTACCAGATTATTGTAATTTAATTGAACAGTTAGTTGAAATATAATGAAAAAATGAATGTAAATAAGATGGGATTTCATTGTGGTCTATGATTCTCTGTAATTCAAATATGAAAGAAAAAGGAATCAAAATATCTGTAATGATTATTTATTGTTTTCAAGTGTGTGCATTTCACTTCATTATATAAAATAATACACACAATTAATTTCTTGATATAGCATATTGAAAAAATTTATAGTATTGTGATGACTTTTATTTGTAAAAACAGTAAATAGTGAAATAAAATAAAAACTATTCAAAAGTTGAATGGTTTTTTATTTTATTTTATTGAATTTAGTCTCCAGTAAGCAAGTATACTTTTATTTAGTAAATAGTGATTTTCTATAAAGTAAACCTCCAAGAAAATATAAAATAAGCACACTTTCGATAATAAATAATATTTTTTTAGATTTAAATTTGTAATTATATAAATTATTTTGCTATCAAATAAATAGATGTTTCAAAATAATGAAAGAAATAATTCATTGTTAATGTTCAGCATTTAAATATTAAAAATATATTAAAGTAGAATTTTACTAAGATAATTAAATGCTGAAAATTTTTAATTCTAGTTTTTTAAAATAAAAATTTAAATTTATTCAATTTATGTGCTATTCTCAAAATATTCTTTTTTTTCCAGTATGAATCAGGTGGTGTTGCAAAATTATTAGAAACTTCATATTCAGCAACTCTTACTGAAATGATTGATTTATATTTGAAGCAACATGACTGCATCCCTGCATTTTTAAGCGCCTTAACACTTGATCTGTTCAATCGTCAGACTTTTGCTGTTGCTTGTGGATAAGTAGTTAATACTAAATATTATTGAATACCAATGCATTTCCAGTTTTAATTATTTTTATATTAAAACAAGTATTCATTTTTTTTTATGAAATAGAAGTAAAACAAATTTAATATTAGCATTTTTCTTTATGTCCTTAATTAATATAAAAACAAAAAAGTAAAACATTATTTACTTGGACCTTGTTTATAAATAGGACTTATTATACTGGTGTAGTTTCTGATTAGGAAAGAGGAAATTTTAGTCAAAATGTAAAACAAAATCTCTTTATTTTCACCTGTACACTCTTTATCTGTGTTTTGGACCTGTTCAGCAGGTTAAAACAAAACAATTGTTACAGAATGTTGTTGTCATCTCCTTGTAACAATTCTAAGTTATTTTCTGATAAGAATGCTTTTACATGTTTAAATATTTAAATATAAGTAATAAAAGAATTATTAGAAGGAAGCTATAAGAAATTAAATAAGAGCAAACAAAAGATTTGTCAACATTATTGGATAAAGAATTACAAAGAATTAAAAACCAGCAAATAATAACACAGGAAGATATTATGAAAATAAAAACAGAAGATAATAGAATATCTAAATTGAATATTCAGGTAAAAACACAAAGATCCAGTTAAGTATAGACCTTTAATAGATATTAAATATTATATATACGAGTGGTCTTTTCTTAACCTCCACCAACCCAGAATAAAAAAACAAGAACGAAGAACAAAACCACTTTATTAGGTGAAGACTGTAACTACCTTCTACGAGTTTTCCATATAATTGCTTGTTGATTCAGGCAGACATCTTACCATGACACAAGCTTTTGTATATTCATGTCGAAGAACGTTGCCGCCAGGCCATTCGGCCAACCTTTAATTACTAGGTGTGCACCCTGTCCCCGTCTCACGTGCTTCCAATTTTTTTTCATGTGTTAGTGGAGGTTGAAAAAAATAACCCTCATACTACAATTTGGAGAAATTTTTGAAAAATAAATTATATTTATTAAATATATCAAGATATAGTTTAAAAAGTGTTGAAGAATTGTTAGATTAAAAAATGAATAATTTCATATTATTATTAATAGTTATATAATGTCTTTAGTTATATTTGGATACATGCTTTTTATATCTAGAGATAATATTAAAAAGATCTTAGAAACAGCAAATGCTCCACAATGGATAATTAATTTATGTATGATAGTAGTAGAAAATTATTATTCTTCAAACTGAAAATAATTTACTCTGAAGGAATATCCATGGGAACATGTATTGGCCCAAAATCAGTCAAAATATTCATCACACCAATAGATGAAAAAATAAGATACATAAAAGGAATTCATGTTTACAATAGATATGTAGATGAATGTATAATTATTTTTGATAAAATGGAAACAAATGAGGAATTAATAATGGAACAAGCAAACCAAATTAAGGAAAATATACGGTTAGAAAAACAAAATAACATAAATTATTTAGAGGTTACAATACAAAGAAAAGAAGATAGACTAGAGTATAAAAAATATGTTTAGACACTTGCATAGGTTTAAGTAACTAACTATAAATCAAATGTACCAATAAATATGAAATTTAATATATTTAAAATGTACTTAGATAAAATTAAAAGTAGAACTAGTAAAATAGAAAACCAGGAAAAAAATACAACAAATAGTAAAAATATAATAATACTTCTCTAACTTGAAGTTCCAAGGAGTAGGAAAAACTTTAAGTTACAAATGGTTCAAGTTAGACAACAACAGAGTAATGTGAGCATATAATATCAGTTCTGAATAGATTTGTATATTTATCTCTCTTGCATTACATAAAGAATCTTTAATAGTTTTTTTTCTTTTCTTTTAAACAGCCTGTGTAATGCCTTTCAGCAAAAAGTGCAATGTAACTAATGGAATCAAACAGTTTTGCAGGTACTCTACATCTTGTTGAAGTAAAGTGAGAGGACCTCTCGCGTTGGACTGGAACGTTGTCTGAAAATTGGTGTTAGAGAGTAGATACAACTGACTGTCTGAAAATTTCATGGAAATTGATAATTAGGATCACCTTGGATAGAATAAATACTAAAACTTGAGTCAGGGAAGTTGAAAGTAACATAACTCTATGTCGGAAACTCTGAAAAACTTCCACTTGAAANGTTTAAATACTGGCTCCCTTTTATGGTCGAATGAGTGTTGCCAGCTAAAACACGTAAAAATAATATTAAAGTAGCCAAGACATAGCCAAATATTGTAGTGCCACATCACTAGCGGACATTTGAAATTTGCCGACTAGGACGGTCGGTTAACTGAGGTGTCGGATAATCGAGGCTCTACTGTAGTTGTGGACAAGATAAAACAAAAAGAAAACTTAAATACATGTAAAGAAACATATCAGATCAATTAAAGGAAATTATGCAAATTCAGCAGTAGCTGAGCATTATAACAAAGAAGGATGTGAAATTAATTTAAATATGATAAAAGTAAAGAAATAGATTTAAAAGACAAGTATTTGAACATATATAAAAAACAAGGTGATAGAATTAATGATAATTTAGAAAGAGAAATCCACCAATCATGGAACAGTTTAATTCATTATGCGTAGAAAAGTATTTAAAACAGAAGTAACAGTGAAAAAGATGATAATATGAAAAGACAGAACCGAAAAAACAGTAAAAAATTCTTTACTAATTTTAACATTTTGTACAAAACTTAATTTTTAATAGTTTTATCATTTTATACAGGCATAAATTTGTAACATAATTATCATAATGTTTCTATCTATTTTTTGGATGCTTTATGTCAGTATTAGTGTTGTATTAATATTGGACAGTGAAGATGATGTAATTTTTATCTCATCTCAAATATCGTCGGAGTAATATCACTATTTAAACATTTTTATACAGTTGTTATAGAATGTTGTTGTAAATCTGATGAAGAGGAGCCTATGGGTTCAGAATAGAAAGCGAGTCAAAACTTAAAACAAAATATCTTTATTTTCACCTGTACAAAGACTTCCTCTCTTTGCTAAGCAGAAACTACACCAGTATAATAACTCCTATTTTTAATTATACAAGGTCCAAGTAGACAATATAAAAACAAAAAAAAAAAAAATGCTAATATTAAAGTTATTTTATTCAAAAACAATGCTTAACTGTATAGTAAATTGAGCATTGTTTTTAATAAAAAATAAGCAACACAATTGTTTAAAAAACATGCAGAGTATCTGTAGTTTAAGATTTTAATTAATCAGTGAGATTTTTTACAAAAATTACATAATTAAGAAGCATTTACAGATCATTGTATGAAGAGTAAATATTTTATATAAGAAATCATATTGTTATTTTGTATTGTAAATTAAATTTTCATTTTGTAATAAATCAGATATTTTTAAATTTTTGATGAAGTAAAATATTTCCAATGAAAACATGGAATCTTAATATTGTGAATCTGAAAGATTGTTTATTTTATACCCTGTCATAATTAACAATTTTTTTAAATAGACTAGAAGCATCACAATTAATTTAGCGATATAATTTCATCTGTTCTTCTACATCTGACATTGTTGTGACTCCAAATTTATCAGCTTGTTCTTGCATGAGACGGAAAATTTCAGACAGCTGCTGCTTTTGCACCCTATAAAAATTTAAAATACACTTTATATAAATCCTTTAAAAATTTAATTTCTCCAGAAAACATTCAAAAAATAATCTTGATATAAAATATTAAGTCTAAGAAATGCTTAAAAATGTCTTTTTACTATAATACAGCAATTAAATGTAATTTATTAATAATTTATTTCATTCTCTCAAGATAATGAATCTTACATTATTACATTTTAGATATCATGTACAGTACATAGCTAATGAATAACTTTTAGAAAATATATTTCTCTGTTGTAATTGCTGGATTAGTTTATAAACAATTTTAAAATTTTTTTAGTTTTCAATTGTAAATTATTCTTTCAAGTCTTAGTTTTGTCATTATGCATATACATATTCAGTGGATAATATTTGTTTGAAAATATACATAATCATTGATTTATCAGTAAAACTGTCATGCAAGAAATTATTTCAGATAAATTGTTAAAAAGTGTGAATATTAACTGGATTATATACAATAAACCTAAGTCAAGAATATGCAGTTTTTAATTCACATTACTATAACATAAAATAAATAAATTTATTGTAGTGTCCTTTAATTTAAAGTAAGATCATTATTAATTTTAAAAAGTTTTACACATTTAATAAAATAATTTCTGAGTACTTTATCTAAAATATTCTGACATTTGGATATTATTTTTGATCTAGCTTTTCTCAGATAATAAACTTGAAAAGTATTTATTATTCTTTAAAAATATAAAAATTACCACTTAAATTTTATTATTATTAACTTAATGATTTCAAATTTCAGAAAATAAACACATTCTTATCTGAAGGAAAGTAAAGATTTGTTAATTTAAATATTTTAAAATTATATTTACTCTTTTTCTTCTTGTTTCTGTTGTTCTGTCAAGCCAGCATTGATAACCATTTCAGCAATGCGTGCAGGTTTGTTTACCTCTTTGGACGATTCTTTATCAATTATCTCATCATTTACTTCTGGTATCAGGTTTTTGTTTTTTATACTTTCTTCTGCTGGTTTTGTACTTGCTGGTTGCTATTTAAAAAAGTATATAAATTAGTATAAATTTATTTATTTAAAAGTGTTTAATAAGCAATCACTTATCATTCAAATAGTCATTAAATGAGAATTTCTAAAATGAAATGAAGTCTAAGTATTTATAATATTTTTGCTGAATGATTTTGATATTATCATACTAGATGTAACACTGGACTACAGAATAAAGTAATGTTTTTATGAAATATTTTAATCCAGCTTAACAATTTTGGCATGTTCTTATTATGGATTATTTTACTTTTTATATTATTGTTGATAATTTTGACTAAAATGGTTCTTGTGAAAGATTTATGTGAACTGCTTTAAGTTGTTACAAAGAAATTTTTCCCCATCATAAATGATATAGTAATTAAATTAAGAATGTCACATTTAAAAGCAAGTACATTCTATCATCAGCCAAATTTTTCCAGCTGCTAGATACATTAAAGAAACAGTAGTTAAAACTGGGGATGGGTAATGAAGCTATTGGAAATATGTAATGCATTTTATAGAGAAATAATTTATTTATTCTTGTAATCTATATATATAAATGAGAATGATATATATATATATGTGTGTTTGTTTTTTTGTTTGTTTGCTATACATTCCTGGGCTGTTCAACCAACTGCTACAAAACTTGGCAGTTACATTTATATACCCCTAACTAAGATAATGTCGTATATCCCACCCCAAAACATGTATTGGATTTCTGTAAATCAATTCATTTCTATCTACATTAGATTTACTGATTATAGCACCATTTATTAGCAAAAAAATTTAACAAAATAATAAACTAAATATAATTCTTATAAAAAAGGAATATGTATTTTTTAAAATTACATCACTTAATTACTGCAATGATGATATAGCGCAAAATAGACACACTATATAATTACTGCAACAGGTAGCATATAGCACTTGCCTGTGTGCAATAAAGAGTGTTATCCTGTGAAAAAACTATATGTATTTAATTTTCCACATCTAATTTTTCATTTCTGAACGGTACTTTCTTAATTCTAATAAGTGCCCTCCATTAGCTGAGTGCATAAAACCACTGAACTCTGGTAATTGGTTAGTTGTGGGTTCGGGAATGGCAAATGGGCTGGCCACATGGAGTTTTCTTCACCTAAATAGGGTCCAGCTTCCCATAAAAGTTTTCCTGGGATAGGATGTATCCTTGGCAAATCACTCACAAGTCACATTGCAGTAACTAAATAAACCAAACTAATTCTACCGAGCAATTATTTATTGTGACGTCATCACAATGCCAGCCTGCAACCTTTTGTCATAATGTTTTCAGTTTTGTAATGATGGTTTTTCCCCTGTACATCATACTTTCCCTGTTAGCAATAGTCATGCCAGTCATCTATCTAACTTTGTTCAGGGGAAAATTTTGAATCAAAATAATATGACATCCATTCTAAACCTGAAGTTCCTATATAGTTAACCTGGGCCTCCTGTCCCTAAGCTTCCTAAATCTGGTCTCAACTTTCATGTATCTAACTCCTTTTTCAAGATTGAGGATGGACAGACAGACTGACTGTTGTTCGTCTGTGTGTCTGTCTAAATTTATAGGTCTACAATTTTTTCAAATTGCAGTCCAATAATTTTTCTATAAACATGATATTTATGAGAACATACTTCCTACATAATTTATACAATCTGTTGCAAAAATACAAACACTTTACTATAACATAAAATAATTAATTAATACCCAGCTATATGCTTCTTAACCTATGCAAAAACAGCTTATGTCACAGATAATTATTTATTAACCATAATGAATGTTTTCAACCTGTTCTACCAGCCATCTTCAGGTTTTTAAAAATCATGGAATATTGATAACTATTCTTTTTTGTAAGGAACAGTTAAGAACACATTTGAAATACAAAATTATTATATATATATATACATATACACACTTTATTATAACATAAAATATATAATATATATATATATATATACAATTTAAAATAACAAAGTAATAAAATTAAAGGTTGAAAACATTTGTTACTGTTAATAAATACTTCTCAGTGAGATAAGGTCTTTTTGCATAGGTATAACATAAAAGCAATTATTCTCATAGTTTTTCAAGATTGCTTTATTTTAACAAGTCATACGAAGTCTTTCAGACATTAAGGTTAGCAACTCAATCATGTGCAAAGCCATCACAGCCTGTCTAACATGGATCACTTTTCAAATATTAATAGTAGACCAGTATTAATTAGTAGTGGTTGACTGTCCTCTCTTCCAGGAGGAGGTCAACGACTACTTTTGCTCGAATTACTTCAACCCCCTTCCATAATGGTCCCTTTCTTTCTATTGCATCAGTGGTATAGTAGCATTTGAATAGGAAAATCCAAAATGAGGTTACCAGCCTGCACAAAATATGATTTAAGGGGTTTTTGAGGGTGCACAGTTTAAATATTTGGTCTGTTTTTTGCAAAATTTGATTTGTTGTCAGATGACCATTTGATATTCAGCTATGAATGGAATTGTTTCTCAGAGGTAACATTCTTAGAGGTAGTGAAAAAATTATATCACATTTTCAATTGGTGTCTACTTAACCAATGAAATTGAGCCATTTCATACCATTTGAGTATCATGATAAACATGACAATGGTAGGTTAAAATAACCAAACTCTTTATATGGTTTTCATTTTAATATTTATTATATTATAGTATTTGATTTATATAACTACAAAGGTTATTCTAGATTGTTCACTTGGTATGATAAACCCTTACGTAAGATAACATTCGTAGTTACATAAATCAAATACTATAATATAATAGAAGGGTTAGAAGTACAAAAAATCTAACAATCTTAATGTTTGTTGTTATTTTTTGCCTGAGCAATGTTGGGCTCATCTAGTTATTATTATAATACAATATAATACTGTGATATAAATAAAGTAACATTAAAAGTTTTTATGATCTCAAATTGCAGAATATTCATGACATATCTGAATAATATTCAATTAACAAAATTCCATCAATAGCAAGATTGTTGGAACCAGTTATGATTGTTCATCTGTACAGTCACTTCTCATTTAACAAAAATTATTTAATTATATGAATTTATACCATTTCTGTTAAAAAAGCTGTTTTTAATAATTATAAAATTTCACAATATATCACTTAATTCTGGAAAATATTTTCTTTGTATATTGCTGTTATTACTTCATATTCCTTGATTAATTTATTTGGTTCATGTTATAAATTTCAGTTTATAGGAATTCATTTTTAATCAATATTAAAAACATGTTCATTATCACTATAACCATGAATAATATTTTTAGTTTAAAAAAAAAAGAAATTATCTAATTATTTCCTTAAACTTATGTATTAATAAAAAATTTCTTAATTAAGCTTAAAATATAACATAGTTATGTAATCATTACATAAAAACACCATATAACTTTTTATAATAAATAGTATATCAGTTAACTTTTTAAAACTTTTCTTGGTTTGAATGTTATCTAATTACTACATAATTTGATCATGAAATTAAAATAAAGATATTTATAGATTTGAATCAAATTTCAATGTACATGTAATCATGATTCCAAAGTCTCAAATTATACATTCATGTAAAAAAAAGTACATCAACTTGTCTTATGTAGTTTAAAGTTAACATCTTTTATCAATTAAAGCTGTGGTGTTTTGCATAGTATATGCTAATTTTATTTAATTAGTAAGAATTTTTTAAATTAATTTCACTGAACTGTTACTGATAAATTTCAAGAGAGTCAAAGAACAACCAGACCCTTCACCTCTTATCAAGAAGTTAAGCAATAGCAGTATGCATTTATTTCCTAGAATATGAACAAATATCTCTTAAATGAAATTACAAAGTCTATAAAATTATTTAAAAAAATAACAAAAACTAGTTATTCATTGATATTATTGGGCTGAAGTTTTGCATTTTGCATAATCATCTTCAGCCTAAATTTACTTTTAAATAATGAGATTATTATTGTCATTTAAGTATTAAAAGATAGCGATGTATTAAAAATTTGTAAAAGTGAAGAATATGTTATCATTAACTCTAAATTTTGTTTATTTTCAGAATGCTCAATCTTATTTCTTAGCATGTATAGTTCTCTGCTTTTTTTGGGATCAAGACAAGAGTTTAGTGGAATTTTTTATCTCGATCACCAAAAATGAAGCAAACCGTACATGCTAAGGATGCTGGAAAAATAAATTTAGTTTACTTATTTCTTAATGTAATAATCAAGTACTTTTTAATTTTAAAATGAATCAACAAAGCAAAAAACTTTAGGAATATAATAAGGATTTACTTTTGAAATGAAATATCAAAGACATTAAAAGCAGGATGAAAATCATTTCGTTTAGAAAATAATACTTTGTTTTTATTTAGTTAGAAATGACAGGTTGAATATTATATATTTTAATGTCAATTACAATTGACTTCTTTTTTTACTTAATATATTTGTTGTATTAAACATTTAGATAAAACTCAAACCTTCTTCAGGACTTATCACAGCCTCAGAAATTTTAAGTTATAGTTATTCCATATTCCAAAAAACACAGTATGCTTTTTCTTCAGTAACATTTAGAAACCAGCTGTTTCAACCATAGTTTTAAAAATGTTAATGAAGAATTTACTTTTTGCTGTATGTTGTAATAGAACAGAATTTTAATGTTCTTCAGAACATAGAACAAACAAGTGTAAATAGAAATTGCTAAGGATTGGATGATATGGTCTGAAAATGTTTTGATTTAAACAAGTTTAGACTGTTTTTCTTTTTATATTATTGTTATGTGTAATTTTTTAAAAATCATTCAATTATAGGCACTTTAAAACTCCTATTGAAATATATTTGATGGAATGAGTTCTTGATTATTTTTGCTTATAAGAGAGAAATTCTGTCTAAAATTCGGGAAGAGAGAATCTCTCATATTTTCAAAATTATTGAAGATTAAAAAAGTTGATGTTAATATGGCTTAAAGAGTTCAAGTAGAAAAGTTTTTGATAAACATTTGTTCTTACTTCCCACAGAAATTAATTTATAACAGAGCAAAAAAAAAAAAGCCAAACAAATAATAAAATAAAGTCAAAATAACAAATAATAAAATTTATATTTATTTAATTTTAAAAAATTCCTTCCTTTTCTTGGTTCGATATTTATACAAGCAATTTAGCGAATGCGGATTCAACATTTATTTAGCCACCGCAGACGATCCCAAAACGCTAACTCATTTACAAGTCGAATTACCAATTTGTAAATAAATGCATTCAAATATTATTCAATATTTTAATATCAAACAAATATAAACGATAGACAAAACCCAGGTTTCATCCACGGCACCACCAATAATACCGGTCAATGTCCAGTCAATTTTGTCACATTTTCCACTTATTAAAGGCCATTAGACGTGAAATGCACTTTTAAAATGTTTAATACCTAAACCGACTTCAGATCACTCTGCACTTTATTTTAATATTTATATCGACTATACAAAATGCAGATATTTATCATTCATTACTCGGATATACAAATCACAGCTCAAGTTTTAAATTCTAAACTTAATAAATTTTCCATTATATTTAAAGTAACTAAAAATTTATATACGGGTAAACTCAATTTCAAAAATACTTTACAACACATACGACATCCTTAATCGTAGCTTCCGAAGAATTTTTTGAACGACTTCATATAATTTTTAGTAATTCCAGAATTTCTAGCAGCTTTGTTTAAATAAAAACATGCAGTTACTTAGCATTTATTATTTCTTATGATGTTTAAAGTGTTGGAAAAAAAAACCACTAGATATCAAAGAGAAATAATGTATGGATTTCTGTTAAATTAGTTAAATAGAAGCAGCAGCTGTCAAATATTTCTGAAATATAATTTTCCATGGTAACTGGAAAGTAAGAGAACGATTAATCAATCATCAAAGTTGTAAAGTTTTATCTGACAATTTAATCAATTATTTTCTCAATAAACGATCGAGTATTAAATTAGCATTTTATATGTGAAATTATACAAGAACAGTAACAATATACAGGATATTGGAGCAAAGGTGAAGATGTTTACAACTCACCTGTACGTTCTTTTTTCGACATAACCAGTAAGTACCTAATAGAGCAGCGACAGTTGTCAACACAGACACCAGATAGTAAGAGGTAAGCGAGTCGTATAATATGGCAAGACCTACGTCCACCATGGAGGAAAGTTATCGGTGAATCATCTGCGTGCCCAATTTATTAGATAAGAAGTGAAAAATACGTCTCGGCCACCGTTTACTTCCTGAGATTCCCAGCGATGCGATCTCTCCACATTATCGTCGTACCTCGATTCGATCCAACGACCTCTACTGGTTGAAACCGAATTTTTTTTTTTCCGATAGTTACGTTATAGCAATAGTAACATTTACCGTTTTTAAAAATAAATTAATTTAATGTAGAGTTATAATTACCATTTTATAATATTGAATTATTTACGATGTTGTCTAAATTATATTAAAGGCCGCATTTCTTTGTTATTGTGGGCCGAAAGAATAAGGGCCTTTCGGTCTGGATTAGGGTTTCTCTAACGGGATCCCGGTTGTTTTTTGTTCCGGGAAATCCGCAAATATCTTAAAAGTTCTCTTTTTTTTCTTATTTTGTGTTAAGGTTGAGGAAATTTTGCAAATAGAAACTTTAATTAACTCGTAAACTGTCAGGATACAATTGTATTTATTAATTTTAAGCCTGCTTATTAGTATTTTTTTTTTTTAATTTTTGCTCGTTATGGCATGTCACAGCTTGTTAATAATCAATATGTAGCCTATTTGGGGCGAGACTCTTAAAATTCTTTACTTGTCAAAATCTGTAATATTTTGAATAATTGCGCCGTTGCTGTCTTAATTTTTAACCATGCCCATAACTGTATTATGCTAGGTTGTGCAAATTGGGCAAGGATACAAACGAGTATGAAGTTTTTCATCATAAACCTGATTTTAAAGCCAAACCAACTGCCGAATTATCGGGCTATAAGCTCGATGCCGCTATTAAAGCAGCCGAGGTAGACAAATCAAGAATACTTGAGAGCAAAAGAAGTACTGCAACGCATCTCGAAAACGAACTAGAAATCTTTGAGGCTACGGGTGAGTAAACTCATAACCTCTGTCTTCTCTTAATTGCATTAAAGACTATTCCACCCACATTTTTAATACATATTTTATACAACATTATTAATAATATTATTTTGGAGGTTGTGGAACGTATTAAATTACTTTAAAAAATAAAAAAATAATTATTCGATTTCAAGATTTATTTATGTTAAAAAGAATTAATTATATTCCGGGGAACAGATCACTTTTTTCTTGAAATTTCGAGACAAGCAAAGGACCGGGAAATGAGAAATCCTAGTCTGGATGATCGGGATTCGTGTTCGGGTGCGATTCAATTTCGCCCACGTTGTTCCGACCGAACTCGGGATAGATATAAAGAAAGATGTCCTTTTGCTCGCAGGCTAGAAACAGTTAAATAATAATAATAATAATGTTCTTAGTGAAAGAGTTTTACCAAAAGTGTTATTTCTAGGCTCTAACAATATACTTTCACAGAAAGAGTATCGTTAGGGCCTATTCGCTTGTGCCAACGATAGATCTGACATCTAGCGGTATTAGCGCGAACTACGTATTGGCGGCTGCTATGGGTATAAAGTCTGGTCTGTTAGAATTAGAAAGTGTTCATATTATAAATGTTCCAAAATGGAACGTACCGTTTTTGAATATTTTACATATTTAAAATTCAAAAACATAATTTAACTTTAAAATAAATTGAAAAAGTGTGTATATTAAATAAACAAATAAAACATAGAAAACAAAGCTAACTAGAAAGAAACATGATTTAAGGGTTTTTAAGTCCCATTCTTTTTTCTATTATATACTGTGTTTCCATACTGTTGGAAGCGCATTAGCATCACTAGCATTTAGGCAACGGTTTTTCATTTTACTTTTATAAATTTCCACCTTTTCCATCTCCAACGCAATGGATGGACAATGCGCCGTTTTAATGACTAGCCCATTTTACAATCGCTCCTTCGGTATGCACCATAATTTCTAATATTGTGTTGTGTCGTTTGTCAACGTTGTATCTATGTTCTTGCATATATACCGCCAGGTTTCATCTAGTCACACCCACATAATCTTTTTGATTCCTAACTATTGATTTTCAAATGAGATTTTATATACCCCAGCTTTCTCTTCCTTTTTTATGCTACGGAACGATAAAGATACAGTAGCGTTAAAAAGGAAAAGCTAGGGTATATAAAATGGAAAAAAGAATGGGTCTTAAAAACCCTTAAATCATGTTTCTTTCTAGTTAGCTTTGTTTTCTATGTTTTATTTGTTTATTTAATATACACACTTTTTCAATTTATTTTAAAGTTAAATTATGTTTTTGAATTTTAAATATGTAAAATATTCAAAAAACGGTACGTTCCATTTTGGAACATTTATAATATTAAACCTGACGATGGCCTATATTAGATAGAGTGAAAACATTTGTAAAAATAAATGAATTTTAAGCTCAGCAAAATTATGTGTTGGTGAAACTGAAGTGAATTAGTTGCTAAGAGGTGGATAGATATGAAGTTATGTTTTAGCATTTCCTCTCCCTATAAGACATCTTTTTTTGATCACCCACACATTTTAAAATGTCACAAAGTGTAATCATCATGACTTAAACAACTACGAAATCAACTAGGATTAATGTCGGACACAAATGCGGATAAAACGTTTTGACTACAAAGGGAAAAGATATTAAAAAGACAACACACATGTAACTCTCGTGTGTTACCACGCACGCTATACCCTTCGTGGCAGCCATTTTGGTCAACTCATACGCCACTTATATTTACTGGTACAAGCGAATAGGTAAGATCGAAATTGGGCGTCACACTTGCGAATTTATCTCTCCGAAACGATACAAATATATGAGTAATAATAAAACAACAAAGTGTTTTGCCACTTATCAAAAGAAACTAACCCACATTACATTGAATTTTTTTTATTACAAAAGAGTAGATTTGGAGGTTCCTTTATAATCGTCCGGGCTCTGGCGGAATGATCTTTCTGCATTCCTTCTATCAGGGACTGTTGCATTATTTAAAAACTTTTTAAGTAGATAATTTCCATAAAAACAAACATCGTGATGCTTTTAGAATGGTGAAAAATTAATTGTTTTAAAATCACTTTTAAGAATTGACCGAACGGCCAAAATAGTTGAGGCATCAGTTTGTCGTTTTGGGGGATTCGGGCGAAGAACCTCGGAAATATTTCACGGATATGTCAGGATCGTCCCATTGTGGTCCTGGATAAAAGGCCTCTTAGCAATCACAGGACAGAAAGAGTCGAAAGAAAATAATAAAAATATAATAGGAATATTTATGAAATGATTCAAATATATAATTTTAAAAATACGATTTTGTAAATATTGATATAATAAAATGTTAAAATCTTTTTTGAATAGACTATATGTAAGTGGATAATTTATTATGTCGCCTTGCATTTTGCTTATACAGGTATTCTTCCTATAACACGTTTTCGTGAAAATCGGGGATATCTCCGTACAACACGACTTCCGGTTTCGCTCTAACACAGTTTTGAAATCCTCCGTACAGAATTTTACAATTTTTAAGTATAAACTTCGTTATTCGATAGTTTTATTATTAATTCAAGTAAGCATGCCTGTTGTCTCAAATTTGCCCAAGGAGTTTAGAATATTGAAATTTTGAAATTATTTTGTGTTTTTCGTCAGGTTTACTTTAATGAAAGTGATAGTGCAAGTTTTTTCTTCCTTGTCCTAACTTTCCTATCAACCAGGGCCGTGTTCAGTAACGCAGAACATCTAAGGAAAGACAAGGACACCAGAGCCGTGTTACTGAACACGGCCCTGGTGTCCTTGTCGTTGCTTTCAGACTTTAGCCCTTAAGATTGTCACTGTGTTTTTTTATTATAGATTAATTTTCGTATTTAGTAAAGTTTATTTAAACATTTTTAGGTAAGTATTATTAAACTTTTTCAACTGTAGGTAAGCAATTATTTATAAAATAACAAACGAAATACGGCGGTATCTCAGTACTCGAACAATTCGGTATTCGAACATAAATCCTGTAAACATATCTCTCGGTACTCGACTGAACAAACGCGACTCGCTAGAACAAATTTTCCATTAATAACATATTTTTATTTTGTCATCTATAAAAATTTTTTATGGTAAAAACGAGCAATTATTTATTGCGATGTCGTTTCAATGCCAGACTGCAATTTTTAATCACATTTTTAATTTATTTAATTTAAAATATATGCTCTCCTCCTCAAATTAGTAGTGGCTTGCCCCTGTACATCATACTTTTTCTTTAACAATAGAGTCGTGCCGGTCATCTATGTGATACCTTTCAGAGGAAAAGTTTCCCTGAAAGATAAAATTTTTTACGATAGGAGCCATATATCACCAATACACGAGAGCCGCATCCTTTATGAAAACGGTATTTTATATAATTTATAGTTAAAATACTATAGTTATTGTTACTTTGTAACTGACTAGGTAAGCATTAATTTAATTTCGACTTTACGAACATACCTTTGGCTTTCAATTAATAGTTCAATGTTAAGTCGCTGGCGACGCTTACAATCGGTGTGAATATCACACTACATACTTTACAGGTCAGAAAACTTGCAAATGTATTACATATGTGTAAATAGTACATACCAAGTACAGTATTCAATAATACTGTACTTGGTATGTACATATAATTTTGTATATTTTTGAGTTATTTATTTTGTATTTTATTGTTATTTATTATTTTTGTTAATTTTTAGTTATTTTTGCTTTACATTTAAATATTTAAACGTTGTTATTCTTGTATTCTATTTTGGAACGATATTTAACGGTAAAGACGTTCTAAACAAAATGGCCTTTGAAGACGGCCTATTTAACAGGTTGAAAACGTTTGCCAAAATTAAACGAATCTCAACAGTCAAAAGGATGTGATATATTTTGAATTGTTCCGCTGAGGGTGCTTTAGATTGTTGATCAATCGTGCGATATTTTTCGCTCTTCAACTTTTCTTTTATACTCTTTGTGATAAATATCCAAAGAGATTCTCGATTGGCCGGCATTGTGACAGACTTGACGGATTATGTTCTTTGGCTTTGAGGTCGAATGTGCATGGTGAGACAAAGCTTTTTCCGGCAAAAAGAATTCTTTGGCGATTTCCTTTTAACGAAAAGAAAATTTAAAAATTTTTAAAATTCATTAAAGTTTTTAAAAAGCACGGCAATTAATGTACAGTACTCATTTGTAATAAGGATTGTTAAAAGAGAAATAAATAAA